TCCATCATTTGACTATTATAGGGGTGTTAACTCAGCAAAATATTCTAAAAGAGTCCAGTTGTCCATAATAGTATTGGGTCTTCTGCTTCACTGGCAATGCCAGAAATTGTTGACCTGAGTCCCCTACAGCTCAACATAACAACATGGCTTTACTTCTTATACTTTGTTTTTATACTTTTCTGCTGGATGGTTAAGACTAAGATAAAGCAAGATGTATGCAAGAAGAGTTGTAGCTTTTGGATCTGATAAGGTCAGTGAAATCCCCTCAGGATTTTTCCTGAGATCCTGTACCTCAGATTGTAGAACCTTTTTCAGTCTCAGCCATGTGGATGAGTCACGGCCATTGCTTGGCCAGTGTGCTCTCTGTGAAAGCCTGAAAGAATGTTTTCTCTCCATGTGACTCTCCTTAGGCACACTCTACATCATCGATCACTTTCCTCTCTGGCCCCTTAATCTCCTTGATCAGAAAATTTGGGACATTACTGAGTTACATGACGTTATAGTACAAGTTCTCATATGTCCTGAGTTTTAATTGACCTTGGAAGGCGAGGGCCAAAATGTTGGCTTTCCTTGCAGCCCTCCTTTTTCTCTAATTTTGGTCTGCAAACTTAGGTTGTTAACCCTGCAGAAAAGAAGCTTATTGTTATTACCATACAACCTAGGCTGTTAAGCTTAACCTCACTATCTGTCTGAATATCAAACATTCTCTCTCTCTCTCTCTCTCTCTCTCTCTCTCTCTCTCTCTCTCTCTCTCCCCCTCTCTTCTTTTTTTGTTAAGAGCAGAACTTTTTTATTGAGGGAAAGAAAGCTTCTGTCCAAGAGAGGGACGGAAGGGAACCTGAGTGGGTCAAAGGACTGCCTTTTCTAGGGAATTTATAGAGCAGATCCACAAGGTGAGGCAGGCCTAAGGTGGAAAACACAGGACAAGATGGGACATGAGGTGGGATAAAACTATGGCCAACCAATATGATTACAAGCACAATTGCTCAGGTAAAATTGATTAAATGTGGGATCAAATGGGAAGAGAGTCACTTAGCAAATGGGCATGAATACAGACCAGGGGCTCTTCCTGTAAGGGATTAAGTTAGTGACTCTTTGTGGCTTTTTGGGTGGTTGCTGCCTATTTAGAATAGCAATCCCTGATGTCTATCCCTAGGGAAGTGCGGTTGCATTTGTTTAATCTTGTGTCCTGAGGGCTGGCCCACCCCAGAATGTCTGTCTCTTCCACATTGCGAGGTATCTTGCCTTCCACTCTGGCTCCTTCAGGGCCCAGCCCTGGCTCACTGCCTGTAATATTTCTATCTGACTCTACTGCCTACAACAATCCCCATCAAAAGAAGTAACCCAAACTGCCATGAGGGACCCATGGGTGACGACTGCTCTGGCTTCTACAGGCTGAACAGGATCGTAGTTGTTGACTGGCAGTTAGAGATGCTCTCCAGAATATTTATCTACAGGCCCTCAGTAGACACCAGGCACCTTCATCCTGGGTAGGCAAATACATAGCTTTAAATCTCCACCCAGTGATCATGGTGGAAGGCCTCTAAATGACACAGGGGAATGAAACTCCCACCCTGCAAGGTACCTGGATGAGTCTGTGTTCTCTTAAGACTGAAGAATGAATTTTAGGAACAATGGAGGTTAAGAGCAGAATTTATTTATCAGGGGAAAGAAAGCTTCTGTCTGAGAGAGGGACAGAAGGGACCCCAGTCAGTGGGTTGCCCCCCAACCCTTGTTTTCAGCTGTTCCCTGTTGCCCTGTCCAGCTAGTTTAGCCTGGCCAATGTGCTTCCACTCTCTATGGTGTTTGCATATATAATCCTAATTACCGGACAACCAGTGCTCTGTGCAATTGAGGCACTGTGTTGCATTTAGGCATCCTTTTACTGTGTGACAGTGAACAACTTCATGCCCATGGCTTGCTCCTGAGTTTGAAATCCCCCGGAATAGGATCACCAAGTGCGTGTATGTTAGGGATCTGGATAGAGAAAGTCACATTTCTTCCCTAAAGCATTTCCCCATGAACTGTAGAGCTGTATTAATTCTGTAAGTTATATCA